TATATGTTTACTCTTATTTAGAAATGAGAGTGTGGATGTACTAACACTGCACTCTACAGTTGTACAAGAAGCTTTGTTAGTTGTACTAAATTGAAAATTCTCAATTTTACCCCTTCTTTTCCTAGATTGATGGTCTATATTGATTTTTTGGTCCTTCTCCTTTGAACATGTGTACTTTAAAGTGTTCTTCTTTCTTTTTCATTCTCAAATCTTTTGTTCCTTGGAAATTTAGAATATATTTGTTCGACATAGTTGAAAATTGAGGAAAGAAAATTTATGAATTAACCTTGGTTTCTTCTTGGAGACCATCATTTTACACAATTCATTCATTGCGGAGTAACATCTGAAAGCTTTCTATTTATTTTTTTTCATTTTAGTTTAGTGTTTAGGGATAAGAATTGTTCATATTTGATTTTACTCTTCATGTTTTATTGATGGAATCTATGTTCTTTTGGTGTTGTTATGGAATCTGAAGGAAGAACTTCTTACACTGCTAAAGTGTTTGATGAAATGTTCAAAAACAATTAAACAATTTTCTGTTTTAAATGTTAAGAAGATCTTACTTTTGAATAACTAATCTTGCACATGATTTATGCACCAACGTACTTCTTAAAAAATATGTAAACAAGTCTTACCAGGAATACATCATCAATTATATATTTTATATGTTATTTATTGAGTAGGCGTTAGTGTTTAAGAGAGTGTTTGAATTGACTTAAAAATTGGTCAAACCTACATTTAAGTCAATTTTTGACATTTGAAAGTGTTTGGTAAATATAAAAAAATAACTTAAAACAAGTCAAAAATGACTTAAAATAAGTTGGGAAGTGTTTGACAAGGACAAAAATTACTTAAAATAAGTCTAAAATGACTTAAAATAAGTCAAACTAAAAGTAGGTCTCGCCCTACCTTTTATTTTTGGACTTAAAAGTCATTTCAGTTTGACTTTTTTTATTGATTTAAAAGCTAATACTTTTTTTAAGTCAATCCAAACGGGCTCTAAGTCATTCAAATGAAGAGGTTGAAAATATTTGATGATGTAAATACAGATAAATGAATTTTAGTTTAGCTTAAAATATTGAGATGCAATTGTATGATCTTTTTAAAAAAATAAAATGAACTTTCAAATTTTTTCTTCTCAAAATGGTGACTTCGTGGAAAGTCGGTGAGATGCACTCCTACACATAGAATTATAACATTTACTATTTGTATTTGGCGTATATATCAAAATTTTAGTCACATATATCTACTAACATTGTGAAGTATGTAAAAGTCATATTTATTTTAAGATTTATTATATCAAGGTTTGTCAAAGTAATAGATATTTTTTTTGACTTTATCAAATTTCTTCATATCTAAATTTTGCTGTTAATTAATTTTTAGCAGAGAAAAAATATGCGAACCACATCACATAATTGTTCTAAGATGGCAGATAGTAGATGTGTGCTTTGTGATATAGCAAATAAATGTACGAGCAATGAGAAAATTAGGAAAGTCAGTCACTAATCGTTTTAAGAAATAAAAATTGATTGAGCAAAAAACTTTGAGAAGACAATATACAATCTATGTGATAAGATCCAGTGATAAGTAGAAGCAACACAGATTACTTTGGTGAGTTTGGTCTGTGCATCTGATTCCATCAACATACATATTTGAAAACGTATCTATCATAACTTTATCATTTTTGTATATATGTCTTCTGCTTGTGTCAATGATATTAGCATATAAGCTTATCATTCATCGCCAAATGACAATGTAAAGCATCAACTACTAGAAAATATGAAGTGTTAGGCCCGTGTTGACACGGGCCATGCCCATCTAGTGTTTATAAACATAAAAGTTTGTGAGTCTTGATGGGTGGTATTTGTGATGATGTGAAAGTAGCTAGTATTTTGTAGAATTAGTTAAAGTGTGCATAAATTGATGCAGACACTAAAGTTATAAGAAGTGTAATCTTATTAGAAAAATCAACACATGAAAATAGCATCTATAATTCTTACGTGAAATTTGCACAGAGAACTATGCACGATAAAAAATAAATCAGAAAAGGAAATGGGTTACTACATAAGAATCAACAAAAAAAATTTAAATGCTCCTCTCCTTATAATCAAGTGATTGAATGCCCCTCTCTAGATGAGAAGCTGAACACGTCATCACCTATATCACTCTGATTAAAAGTGACACACCCTAAGTATAAGCACAACTCAAACATAGTTCGAGATATACTTAGACTTTAGGGAAATGATTTCCATATTTAAAAATTACTAAACAAATTAAAATTTTGGCTTGATAAACTAATCTAATCAATAAAAGTTCTCACTTTGTGGAGAAATAATTCATCACCCGAAAATGATAAATGTTATAAAACAAAAATTACATAGGAGAGATTTAAAATATGGTATCCCACTAAATCTAACAAAAAATGATTACTATAGTAATGCATAATATAAAAGTTAACAACATGATCATATGACAATGGAAACTATTACCAACCCCCTAATAATAAATGACATTATAAGAACAAAAAAAAACACCCAACTTGATAAAGCAAGACGATAGACAATTTTTTTTTATATATATAATAACTTATAATTATTTCGTTTATAAATATGATAGACGATTGTAATCGATGTTAATTTTTTATTTTTAAATTACGAGCTTAAAATCTACGATCGATGTTTTTAAAATTCAAACATGCATAACAAGAACTCAACAACCTCCCTATGACACAAGAAAAATATAGAGTGCATAAAGTTTGTCAAAAAAAAGAGTTTTTATTAGTTGAATGAAGGTGTTCTTTTTGTGGAGCTTTGGACCAACTCTTGTCCAGAGTTGTTGAGTTATATTTTGTGATTAAGTTGTTGTATCCTGGAGGGGACAAGTCAAGAAGGACTACTGCTGGACCAGTGAAGAATATTTATTGTAGTGGACTTGAATCTCCTTAATGAGAGTGAGATATTCGCGCCTCAACCTGAAAAGATTTTTAGTTTCAATTGTAATCTTGTATTTTTTCACTAACAATTACTTTACTGTGATAGGACGAATTCCACCATTATGAATAAATGAGTGTAGTTGTTAAGGTAATAAAAAAAAAAAAAACAAAAAAAAAACCTCCCTATGGCCTAGGCCAAGATAAATAAAAAAACAAAGAAAAATGTTTTCTTATCTCTTTACTTTAGATGCTGATTGATTATGTTTTATTGTAAAATTTGAGAAAGATATTTTTTGTTTTCAAAATAAATAATAAAAATTGAAAATTGAGATGTTTTCCTCGTAGTAAAATATAAGACAATAAAAAAAATTATATAATATTTTTAATCTAGAGAAGTATTGAAAATACCCCTTAACTCGACATGAATTATTAATTCATCCCAAATTATTGACAAATTTAAAAACAACTCTTTACTTGACTAACCAAATCTAAATATACCCCGATCTTGCAACATGAGTAAAATACATCTCTAAAATCTCATCAAGTTTATGAACGCTTTCAACACTTCTTTTGGTTTTTTATTAAGAGTTCCATGTTCTTACAAGAGTTTGAGACCATTTGCTATTTCATATTGTATATCCGGGATTTATCCAAATTTAATAAGTCAAGTAAAAAGATATTTTTATGGCTGTAGATAATTCAAAAGCGAAATTGATAATTTACACCATTCTTTATAAAAAAAATTTAAACCTGATCACTTACGATTCTTTTTGTTTCATTCAAAATAAAATAGTAAAAGTGCCTTTGATGACCTAAAACACTCCACAAAATGAGCTCATTTGGCCACACTTGTTGTCACAATCTGGAGATTAAAAATTACAATTAAAAATTAAATACTTACCTATAAAGAATGTATAAATGTAATATGAAGGTACACTAGAAATTAATTAAACAATATGAAAAGAACAAAAAATGACTCCTCAGCTAACCAATACGAGAGACCAGGTGCTTTTGTGTATGGTGTGTAGCAGGGAATATTTGCCCCTTACCATAATTATTAATTAACAAGTACATAATTAAAAATAGCCGTTCTAAGCCTTCTGCCAAATTAAGAATTAACCCCTTAATCACAAAGTATTTCCTAATTCCTACTCACAAATCGTACTTAACTATTTATAGCCATTAGATCAAAAAGTTTAAAATTACGTATAATGAGGTTTATTAGCACTGGAATATTTCCCTGATTAATAAACTGCTCCTTAATTTGAATTCCAAATTTTTACAAAAAATTCTCTTCTTTTTGGGTCCTACCACAACTCCCTCTTCAAAATACACCGCTCAACCACAACAAATCAAAGCTTAAACACCCCACGCGCCTCTTATTTTATACTCATTTGAATTTGAATTAAAATACTATTTTAAATTTTTGACTAATTGTACTTTAATAATGGAGTACTATTATTATTTATTTATTTTTTAAGTTTTGACCACACATCCATTTATTTTTAGATAAATATGACACAACATTTACATTACTTAACTAAAAATCTCAACAATTATTATTATAATAAAAATAATATCCTAATCTCGTTTATCGTATAGACTAGTTCAACTATTTGAAATAAAAAAAAAATTTGGTTACATTTTAAAATAGTGAATCAACAATCTCCATTCTCCAACAAGGAAAGCCTTTTTATTTTTTAGTGAAATTTGTTTGAAATACTAATTTGAACCAACAATAATTGTGGTGGGATATCTAGAGATTTGAAATTCTTTTGACTTTGAAGTTACTTTTGTTAGAAATCACTATATTCAAAATACAGATTTTTTACATGAATCTGAATATAATCAGAATTCAGTATAGATATCGAACTGATTGAAACTCTTTTTTTTTTTTTGCAAAAGATTATTATTTGAATGTTGTGATTCGAATTCAATATTCAATTTAATATTATTAATATAATTACTCACACAATACACGCTCCTTCCTCCGAGGGTGGTTCTTTTTCCCATTGAAGCGTAAAACATAAATTAGCCCCCTCTCCTCTCTCTATTCTCTGTGTTTTTTTTGAAACGAGAAAGATAAAAGGTATTATCGCACTCGATTGCAACCCATATTTCCCCAAACTCGCCGGCACTCGGCTGAGACCGAAACGACAAACGAAGAAGCAGAAATTAAGCGCAAAACGACCGCTTCCTCTTTCTCCGGGTGCTTCTCCGATCGGTGTTTATCAATCTGAATAAACACCGAGAAATTCATATACATTTTCGAAACTTCTGTGCATTTATAGGTAACAATGTCGGAAGATGAGAAGTTGTTGAAAGAGGCAAAGAAATTGCCATGGGATGAGAGGTTAGCGCACAAGAACTGGAAGGTACGAAATGACGCTAACATTGACCTTGCCGCCGTCTGCGACTCCATTACTGATCCCAAGGACCCGCGCCTACGTGAATTCGGTGAGTATTTACTTCTGTTAGGGTTTTGATTTCATTAGATCTGGATTACTTTGCCTACGATCTCATTTATAGCGATCTATATGTTTTGTGTATGTAATGTGATTGTATTTGTTAATAGATTTTCATTTTTGAATGTTTTTCTTTTTGGAATTTTCAGGTCCTTTTTTTAGGAAGGCTGTAGCAGATTCAAATGCGCCAGTTCAGGATAAAGCTCTTGATGCTTTGATTTGTTACTTGAAAGCTGCTGATTCTGATGCTGGGAGGTAAAACTTTATTTATTTACTTTTTATTTAATTCTGTTTAATTGTTGTTGTGTTGGTTTATTTATTTGCTGTTTTTTTGGATGATGAGTAGATATGCCAAAGAAGTATGTGATGCAATAGTGGCTAAATGCTTAACGGGAAGGCCGAAGACAGTGGAGAAGGCACAGATGGTGTTTTTGCTATGGATAGAGTTGGAGGCTGTTGAGGCATTCTTGGTATGTGTTAAATCAAAATGCTATGCATTTCCCAAATGCTTACTGTGTACTTGGTAGTTACTCTTGTTCACTTCTAGGCGTTAATCAAAATGCTATGCATTTCCCAAATGTCTTCCATGGTTTTACTCACTTCTAGGCGTTATTGAGTTGAAGTAAAATAGCAAACAATGTGGAAGTAATTGTTTTGGCCATTAAAAATTCTTTCAGAAAGCTACTTTTTTTTATTGTTTACTTCATGCAACATTAATGCTGTTGTCTTGTAGACTACTGAAACTTATTTGAATCACGTTTCGTGCCAGAGAAGTCACCTTTTTGTTACTTAGCTGGAAAAGTTATTGACGATATATTTACCTCTTTGTATGAGAGTTCAGTGGCGTTTTATTTGTCCTCTGTGCTATTTATTGTTAGAAATCTAAAATGTGTAGTCATTGTGAAATGTAGAAAGTGGATTGAGATGCTAAAGGGCTACTAGCGTTGACTCAAGCTTGTATGACTGTAGCATATCTGGTGGTTAAAGAATACAGTTAGAAGGATTCCACAGAGATATTTTAAATTTAATGTCTTTCTAAATGGCGTGAGCAATATTATTTAGTAAATTAAGGATGTCACATCGAAATACCCAAGCGATGGAAATAACAAGTAGGAACACATTCAGTTGTTGTTAAGCACTTATACTTGGGGGTCGTTTGGTGTGAGAGATAAAAATAAAGTCTTGGGATAAAAAAATAGTCCTGGGATAAAATTTTGGTGTCTTGTTTGGTTGCCGTGTTTGGGATAACTTATCCCACCATTTATACCATAGTGATGGGATAAGTTATCCCATTTACATGGTGGGATAAATTTATCCTGGGATAACTTGTTCCCAACCAAACGACCCCTTAGTCTGTTAAGTAGTTAGTGCTTGTGATTACTTTAGGCTAAATTGAATATAATTGATTTATAATTGCTAATTTGTTAGAGGATATATTCCGAGGGAGTAATCTAGCTCTGAACACGTTGTTTAGTGCCTTTTTCTCCTTCAAGACTGGTGATAGGGTCGATGACAGCTGTTTTGTGGTCTTTTCATCACCAGGTGATATCTGAAACCCTCACTGTATAACTGGAAGACTTTCTTGTGGACTTTTTTTTCTAAGAAGACGTACTCTTTGTGCTTATGACAGTTGACTGTTATCATTTTGTATAGAATCCATTTATATTCTTTCTTTTTAAATCATACTCTTTAGAGTTGCACTTGGAGGGTAAGAAGATGGATGCTTTTAATTGGAGGCCAAAGTTTTACTAGTATGGAGTGTCCGTGCTTCAAATTCATTACATAGGATAGTGACTGAAATTTTAACTCTGCTATTCCGTTGGCAAAAAGTCGTGAGTGAACAATTCTTTAGAATAGAAGTCATGACTCATGATAAATAAATGAGAAGACATGTTAATTTGAATTCAGGAATTGCATAATTGCTACTCTATTTTATATGTACTAAGATTGTACTGTTTCAGTCTTAGTGATAAGGTGTACCATAAATACATAAGTTTATTGACTTAAAGCTTGCCTTTTGGTGTCTTATCTAAGCTTTTAATATAGAGGATCTTCTTGTTGTGTCATCGGAAATAGAGATTTTACTACTGATCCTATTGTAACAAAGTGAGCATTCGTCTTTCATTTTTTGTTCTAAATGAATGTAAGCCTATTTTTGGGCTACTTCTACTATTAGAACAATGTGCCACGCTACACTACCTCTCTTCCCATCAGGGTCGGATATAGTGTAGATGTTATTGCTCATCCGAGCATTGTTAAAGAAGTCACTAGGCGCACTGCAGAATTTTGAAATCATGCCAAAAGGTTGGGAAAGCAAACCAGACAGGCATGGTTCTGTAGTCGAAGCAACTTCATCACTTTCGTGCCCAGTAATTTTGTTTCTGACTTTGTTTATACGTTCAAAAAATATCGATCAGTTAAAAACTTAAAATAATAGATTTCAAACCTATTAAATCAAATGGGCTATGGTAGACTATCGAATTCGTACCCATGAAGTTCAAATCTTGGGCCCACCTTTGTGGAGCCAGTTTCCATTAGCGCTCATCTTTTGTGTGAAGAGAAGTCTCAGATGTGAAACGTTGACAAATGTATTAGTCATTGTTTTAGAGCGAATAAACGCAAAAAATGCCACAAGGTCCCTGGGGCTTGAAGCGGAAAATGAATATTGAAGCGCATATTTTTTTGAAGTGAGTGTACAATTTACAGATAATTAAAAGATAGCAAACATATATTAATTTAGTGCTGTAATATTCACATTACATCACAATTAAAATTACAAATTTCATCTGATTTGTAATAATGCTCATATCTATCCTTGATAAAAAAAGTTCATGTCTATTCAACTCCTTAACGTTGAGATTCAAAGAACTGATTGCTTCTAGTTTGGATTATTTTGCGTTTGTAACACACTTCTTTGAAGTGCATGGCTTCACCCTTGAAACAATAATGATAACCCCTCCCTTCGCATAGAACACGAAGTTGATGACCTTTTTTTTTGAAAGAGGTTGGTATTAGTTACACTACACATTGCAATCCTTGGACCCTTCAAAATGTAATTTTTCTCCTCGACTTTTAAACAATAGTAAGTTTTAGCAGTCTTGTTCTTCTTTTCTCATATTAAGCTACACTATTTACCAGTGTTGTCAAAGGCGAGCGAGACACAAACATGTTGAGTGCTTCACCACTTTATGGCGCCTTTCAATATCGTCATCAAAACTCTAAAACATACTTTTTATTGTCAATGAGTGCAATCATGAACGTGCGGCACTACACAATTGATATTTCACTTTTCATAATTTTATTAATTTTCTTGTCCGTATGAGTTATTCATTTTATTATGGTTAATATCTTGGACTACACATACATATTTATATTTTTTCTCCATTTTTGCTGTTTTTTATTAGATCCCACACTTCATTTGTGTTTTGCGCTTTAAGCCTCAAATACTTTAGCTTTTTGTGCATTTTTTTTTCGTTTTCGATAACATTACATTTTACCGATTCTCATCAGTAACCATGTGAGTCGAAACTCGCCATTTTATTTGGGATTGTGGAATCTCCATCCAAACGAAATTGGCGATTATAGAGTAATATATGTCAGATGGAAGTGCTGAAGGTCACAATAATTACTTCTGATGGAAAAATAAGTTGATAACTTCTCATATGACATGTGAAAGAGTTACTTTGGAGAACCAATTGCAATGGTGACCTTGTAATGATTCCAATATGATGCTTGGGAAACTAATAACTGCTTTAACAGATATTTCCATGAGTACAGTCTATCTGTAGGTGATCTTATTAGTTCATTACAAGGTCTATTGTGAACAACCTCTCTACCCCGCAAAGGTAGGGGTAAGGTTTGCGTATATCTTACCCTCCCAGACTCCACTTGTGGGATTACATTGGGTATGTTGTTGTTATTGTTTTGAGAACTAAATTAGTCCATTAAGCATCAAACAAATTGCTTTAAGTTGTAGTTGTGTTTATTATGTTTTTCCAAATTAAATATTTGGAATGTTCTCAGAAGTTGTGAGTAACTTTCAAGTGCTAATCTGCTATTAGCTAATGACAAGATATTGTGTTGGAACAATTTTCTTCATATGATTGAACAGTCTTTGAGTCATATGCGTTATAATAATTTTATCTTCTCTCCACTTGAATAATAATTATATTTTGCGTTCTTTTTGTGTATTTCTTGATTTTTGTTCCACCCCCCCGGCTATACGTTTTATTAGTTGCCTTGCTCACCAATATTGTTTGTGGTTTAGGATGCTATGGAGAAAGCAATTAAAAATAAAGTTGCCAAAGCTGTGGTTCCTGCAATTGATGTCATGTTTCAGGCTTTGAGGTTTGTGAATATCTGTGTTCACATGTTAGATTAATCTTGTTAGTTACTAGTTGAATTATGACACTTTACCAATATGAATAGTGAATTTGGCACAAAGATTGTTCCACCAAAAAGAATCTTGAAGATGCTGCCTGAACTGTTTGACCATCAAGATCAGAATGTTCGTGCTTCATCTAAGGGGCTGACACTGGAGCTCTGCCGCTGGATTGGAAAAGATCCTGTGAAATCTATATTGTTTGAGAAAATGCGTGATACAATGGTATACTGCTACCTTGGATACTTCTGATGTTTTTATGGTGTGTTTTGGATGAATCTTCACCTTACCTTTCTCTTTCTTTCTTCTTTTTAAGAAAAAAGAATTGGAAGCTGAGCTTGTCAATGTTTCGGGGACTGCCAAGCCAACACGCCAAATAAGGTATTTTCTCCAATCTGACAAATTTTGTTGGTTTTTTATTTTTTCCTCATTCCATAGCAGTTAATCCAAGAAAGGTGCATTATTCGTGCTGAAGTCATGGTTCTTCTGATTCATTTCTTTGATTGTGTGGGCATAGATTCTTGGCTTGGTCATCTTGTTGAGGACAAAGGTCAATCATTTAGGTTACAGGTGCTTGATAAAGAGACAGATTGCACCTCACCTATATGATTTCAAATTTATAATGAGCTTGAAGGATCTGTTTTCTCAAGTCTTCCGTGTAGGTTCTTCTACCATAGCCGGTGGAAGAAAAATGGTCTAGGAAGTCCACCTTGAATTATCTAGAATGATCCCATATAGTAGGCCTGCATGACACAGCTACACGAAAAAACTGTGTAAGCTCATTAAGAGCACTCAAATAGATGGTTGTTTATTTCAGTCTGATATTTATTGTCTTTGGTCGGAGCTTGATGTCTCTGGTGGATTCTCTTTGCTGTATTTTGTGTCTGATTGCTAACTGCATTGGAAGTTGACTTTGCTAAAATTGAAATTGATATATTCTTCTTTGGATGAGGCCTGAATAGTAGCTACTACATGGTATGCATTATTTGAGAAAATGTTTTGGTCATGATGAAGGTTGGGAAGGCATTGCTGGTGGAGATAATAGAAGTGAGGTTATTAGAAATGGAGAAATGCCTATGGACTTTGATGAGACAGGATGTGAAGCTTTAGGTTGAGGAAATGGAGTCTTTGCTATCTATCATTTCAAAAAAAGTTGAGGAAATTTAATCTTTGCTATCTTTGAGGATTAGTTGGATAGGTGCAGATTCCAAATTCATTATTAGGGTTTTAAGAAGAGATGACCGGGGTTTTGTTTTCCATTTAAATGTTATGAGCACCCTACTTTTGGAATTATATAAATGTGTATACCTTATCTATTTCTGCATCCAACTTGTCTTACTTGCTTGTACAATATTTTCTGTACTTGTGTATTTTGTGGATTGTGAAAGGACACATGCATTATTGACTAGTGGAATGTACTCACAGAACTATCTATCTCTGTATCCAACTTGTCTTACTTGCTGCTTGCTTGTACAACATTTTCTGTACTTGTGTATTTTGTGGATTGTGAAAGGATACATGCAGTATTGACTAGTGGAATGTACAATCTTTGTTGATGGAAGAATGTAAACATGTGTCAGAATGTAACCAGACTTGACAGTATCCTGCAAGTTTATTTTTTAATCTAGCTAAACATGTACCTGTTAATAAACATTCTCGTTAAACAAGCTGGCTTTGCTATGTTAGGTTTGATGTTGATTGACCTGATAAAAAAGTTTTGATGTTGATTGAATATTTTTCATTCTAATGATCTGGGCTGCCATGTGAGATCACCTAATGATTTTCAGTCAGGACCATTCTACTTGTGCATATCTATTTCTGCATAACTCATTAACATCACTATGATTAGCAACATTTTTTGGTGAAAGTGATTAGCAACAGTTTTTGGTGAAAGTGATTAGCAACATTGTGTTAAGCTTTTATTTTTTATTTATTATCAGATCTGAGCAGGACAAAGAGCCTGAACAGGAAGCAGTTTCTGAGGCAGTTGCCTCTGGTCCTTCTGACGAATCTGCTGCAGACAGTATGTAACTTAACTGAAGATTCCTTATCCATTTGAATCAATATTTCTACATAAGTCAAGATTCTTCTAGCACACCAAGCTAGTAAAAAATATGTATAATTAGGGTATGTGGCTCAACCACAATCATATATTGAGTCGGTGCAGCTCTCTACACAAAGGGGAATTCTTGATTTACACTTGAAAAAGAGATCTTGTTAATAATCACACTCAATATTATGGAATGTTCTCATATTTCTTTCATGCCAAAATAAGACAAATAGATTGATATGCTTCTCCAAGATGCCTTACTTTTGTTGCGGATCTTCTGCAATCTCCTACTTGGACTTTTGCGGCACCTACTATGTTAGCTATTTTTTTTTGGTTGAGAAAAAGACCCATGCCTTGTGAACATCAATAATGAATGGTCCTATCTGTGACATGCCACTTATTGCATGGGTAGTTATGGGGGACAATCCTTTTTGTAATTTTGGTTCTATGGAGGGGAAGACATAAGAGAACTTTTGATGGGGTAGGGAATCAAATTTTGAGAGTCAAAAGTTCTTCTTATTTCTTTCCAACTTGCGTAGACAGTTAGTTGACTAGATTTTTGGGAGGCGCCTAATGTATTTCCAAGCTTCACCCTTGTAAATATCATACCATACCATCTTGGGCAACTAGGGAGAAAAGCCAACACAAGTGCTGTGTAACTTTGCCCATAATTCTTAGGCAACTAGGGAGAACTCACCTAAAAATATATATTAAAGAAAAACATTAAGTCACAATGCAACAGTTGCTGATTTGTCTTCTCCCCAATAATCCGGCTCCTCTTCTTTAAAGAGATCCATATCACTATTTTGTTTGGCTTAGTTGCTGTTTTACTCGTACTATTGTCATATGGAAACAAAGTGCATATAATTTAATAAAACCTGGGAATTGCAGCTAATTGCACTAATTTAATGTTTGGAATTTTTCTCAATGTGAAAATTTTCATTGCAGTGTGAATTATCCCACTTGACACACCCTCTTCTTTCAGTTCCACAGGAGATAGATGAGTATGACCTTGTGGATCCTGTTGACATTTTGACCCCTCTGGAGAAGACAGGATTTTGGGAAGGAGTGGTCAGTGTTACCTCTTATTCTTTTAGGCTTCCTGTTTATTTTATTGCATTAAACTGTAGGATTTTCTTATGTTTAACGTTCTTTGGCATCCTGTTACTGATGTGACAAATTTCTTTACGAGCGACAACACATATTCATTCATTAATTTGTTTTTCAATTGATTTTGTGTAGAAAGCAACCAAGTGGTCAGAGCGTAAAGAGGCTGTTGCAGAGCTAACAAAGCTTGCATCTACAAAGAAAGTCGCACCTGGTGATTTCGCCGAAATTTGCAGGACACTTAAGAAGGTTTCTAATTTTGTGCTCCTTGGTTAAAGAAATTGATCGTTTAGCTGATGCAGAGTTTTTGATGGCTACCTGTCAATGATTCTTAAAATTGATTGTTGACCAGTAATTATTTCTTGTTGATTGGGAAGTACAGAAAGATAAGTATGATAGGCTTAAAGAAAAAAAACATTGCTAAGTGCCTGTCTAATACTTATGTGGCTCTTTGTACGCTATGGCATCACTGGTGGTGAAATCAACCAGTGGGGCTTGTTAAGTATCCCACATCAGTGGAAGAAATTGATTGTTATCTCCTTATATTGCCTTGGGCATTCCTCGCCTCATGTAGTTTTTGGGTTGAGTTAGTCCCAAGGTCCGTTCTTTAACAGTGCTAACCATGAGCTAGTCTAGAAGCTTGGATGGATCCCCTTTACTTTATTTCTGTTGTTCATCTCTCATCTCCTCACGCATTAAATGGTTCTAGCTGAATTTGTATGAGCACGGGCTCTTTATATTTTGCCTAATATGGTCATGGATGTCTATTTTCGCATCAATGAAGTGAATTGAAGCTTATGCTTGTGCATGGTGAACAGTATTTTGTTTGCTAACTGTCGCTTCACCTACAGTTCCGTGATGTTCCTGTTGATTGTGGTGTTACCAACTGTTTCCATGGGTTTCTGTGAACCCATGAAGAGTTTCTTTCTCTTTTACTTTTATATTCTTACTTTTTAGCTTCTGTGGAACTGTTATTCTGATACTCTCTTTCTGTATTTTTGTGTTTGTGGTGTTTTGACCACATTGTTGTAATCTATCTCTAGTTTCTACTATCTTGATTTCAATAATTTCTTTTTGTAAGAATTGTTTGTTTGTGGCATTATATTGATGGCTAATTAGTTCTTGTTTATTTATTTTTACATTGCACATTTGGTCATGTACTGTCTTTTTACCTTGCACATTTGGTCATGCACTGTCTTTTTACCTTGCACATTTGGTCATGCACTGTCTTTCAGTACAAATTGACTGTTGTCTTGTGACTTTGCAGCTCATCACAGATGTAAATATTGCCGTGGCAGTTGAAGCCATCCAGGCAATCGGAAATCTTGCGAGGGGACTGAGAACACATTTTTCAGGAAGCTCTCGCTTCTTGTTGCCGATATTATTGGTAAGCATTTGGCTTTAAGACGAGCATCTTTCTTTTTTATATACTTGGCGCATGTATATCTCTATTTTTGTCAGAAGTTGGTTCTCTTATTTGTCGTTGTGAACTTGCTATATCGTGGACCTCAAGTTAGTCCCCTTGTTTGGAAATTGAGGTTTGCGTTCTGTCCCTTGCTGGGGTTTTCAATTAGAAGACAGGTCTCTGGGGACTGGTCAGCCTCCATTCACTTTCTTCACACCATGTGGAAGCTTATGACTACCACTCATTTTGACATAGAATAATTTCTTTTGAGTTGAACTATTTCATACTTAAATTAGAATAATCTCTTTATTATATTTCTCTTTTACATGTTCTTTTTCTTTATAGGAAAAACTGAAAGAGAAAAAACCAACCCTGACGGATGCACTTACTCAAACACTCCAGGCGATGCACAAATCCGGGTGCTTAAATCTTGCTGATATTGTTGAAGGCAGGTTCCCGTTTTCAATTCGAATAAGCTATCTACATTTGTTGCAAATAATTTTCAGATACTGCAATTGCTAATATAAATTTAACTTGTGGAAATTTTTAAGCAGTCATGTGTTGCTTCTCTATGTCCATAGTGATAATTTAATCCCCTTCTCTATCTGATTCCTAGACTTTTTACTTGAAAGAACTTTATTGAATTTATGCTAGAAGACTTTCATGTCTAACATTGTGAAGCTGACAAACATCTAAGCATGCATCTGGTTCGTCTTACCGACTTTGTGCAAGATTTACAATAATAGTAACATTTGACATATGCCATTCAAGTTATTGATAGCTTACTTTTGTCCACAATTTGACTGAACAATATTCAAATATGTCAAAGGGTGAATAAGATTTTGATCCCTGGGGGTGTTGCATGAGTCCAAGACACAGCATCGATGATGCAACAATATGGCGGTATCTACTGTCTAACGCTACCCAGATAGGTGGCATCTAAGGAAGCCCTTGGTTACTGCTTATTTCTTAGTTTGTTAAATTGCCTTAGGGATTTTCCAGAAGGGCTTGTAGTAATACGGAGTTATTAAATTGCCTGTTTTTGTGATGGAGGTGTGTCTTATATGTTGTCCTTTGCCTTGTAAGTTGGTTTCACTAAATAAAACATTGTATTCGAAAAAATACCTAATTTGCTTTTATATTTTTGCAGATGTCAAGACTGCTACGAAAAATAAAGTACCCCTAGTTCGATCTCTGACTTTAAATTGGGTGACATTTTGCATTGAGACAAGCAACAAAGCTGTTATTCTAAAAGCGCACAAGGAATATGTTCCCATTTGCATGGAGGTTAGTTTGATCGGTTCCATGTACTTTGTTTCTTACAGTGATCCTTTTTCTTTTGATATTGTAACATTTGTATCATGCATACCCAAAAATCAACCACTCCCTCCATCCCAAGCTGGTGATACTTTTTCCGTTCTAGTCTCTCCCAAAAAGAAGGTTACCTTTCTATACTTAGTAAGGTATAGCTTTAAACTTCCCTTCTTACACTTGTAAGATGAGTTATAGCCATTACTAATATCTATGACTTGTTTTAGACCACAAGTTTCAAAAAGTTTTTCCTCTTTTTAAAATTTTGTGCCCAATCAAGCAACATGACATAAATTTGAAATGAGAGAGTATTAAACTTTGTTTTGGGAGTACATTTGTATTTGCTGGTATTCTGGCGGTGTTATATAAATTGCCGTATTCTTAATCACGCTAGAAAATATTGTGGTTCGTCACAAATTTTTGTGAAGGCAAAAACATTTAGATACTTTTAATGTTTAATGAGATTCGTCTATACACTGTTTTACTCGGTACGGAATTCTCTGGTTCTTACCGTTTTGTAGAAATGGCCTAGGATGTTTTAGCATGCAGTGAAAATTCAGTGCTTTTTTAGCTAGGTACAATACCCAATGTGGCCTAGCTCTTCCTAGGACCCCGTGAGAGTGGGAACATAGTGTACCGGGCTTTCCACTTTAATATGTTTAAACTGTAGTTGAAATGTTTGAAAAAAAGTTAATGGGTATAAAAGGGTGTCTTCAATTCCCAAATAACATGAATTTGCCAATTTTTGTTAGTTGGAAAATTTAAATGTTGAGGTGAACCTACACATCTTGCACTGAGATAGCTCTTTTTCACCTCCTGATAGTATCCCACTCTCTTAGATTATTTACTACTTGCCTATATTTGCTTCTTTATCATGGATGCTATGTTTATGATACTGTTTTTTTTTTAAATTATTATTATTATTATATTGTTTTACAGAGCCTGAATGATGGAACTCCAGATGTTAGAGATGCTGCTTTTTCAGCCTTGGCAGCTGTGGCCAAGGTACTTATGTCAGGGAATTTTTCTCTCTATTTGTAGAGCTTCTCACTCAACTTCTCTATTGACAACTGTTGCTATGTGTTTCTTTCTGCATCAGTCGGTTGGCATGAGACCTCTGGAGAAGTCGTTGGAGAAATTAGATGATGTTAGAAAGAAGAAGCTATCTGAAATGATTGGGGGCTCTGATGGTGGTCCACCTGCCGCATTCACCTCTGGTTGAAATTCTTTTACTTTTTCAAGTTTTCCATTGTATATGCTGTATTATCTATTTATTGCTAATATGTTCTGTCTTATCATGCTCAATTGTATATAACTGCCAGGTGCAGTCCCATCATCTGGAGGAATTGTATCTTCCACTCAGGTGATTTATCTTTCTTTTAACATACTGATCAATTCTATTTAAATAAAGTATGCTACGTAGGTCTATTTGAGTTATTTTGGGAGAATGTGGGCAAACATTTTTGTTTTACTCTACCACACTTGTGAATATATTTTCCCAAATTACTTTTGACTTGTTGCTTCTAACTACAGCTTGGTATAACTGCATTGAGACATTCGTTGTTACTATAAATTTTTGTTCCTAGCTACTTGGAGCAGTGAAGAAACTGTTATTGTTGTCATTAGAGTTGTATTCTAGCTGATCCAACACTCTGTATGACTTGCGATGGCCAACATTATTTGTTCGTTTTGTTTTCCTTTAACAATTTTAGGGTATTCAATATTTTGAAATGATCTGTCCATGCCAGCCTTAGGTTAATTTTTTGTTGATATCTATTTCCAGTTAATTTTCAGGTCAGTTTCTGTCTATGTTCTTCAGTTTTAAGCATATTAATGTGCGCATCTTTAATTAGGCTGTAATAGGTGTTAGCTACCAGAGTACAAACAATAGCACTCCATTTTGTAATGATGCGTAGTATTTTACAAAATATTTCCTTTTGAACCAAAAAGATATCTTGCTCTTTTTTCTTGTAGGCTTCGAGTGGATCACTTATTAAGAGGTCTGCAGCGAGCATGCTGAGTGGAAAGAAGCCTGTACAAGCCGCTGTGAGTTTTGCTTTCTTTTCCTACTTCAATTATCTTTCTTTTGGTCTTTCGTCTTCCTCATTTTTGTGATATGATTCTCAGCCTCCTAGTAAGAAAGGGACATCTGCAAAATCTGGTACAAGCAAGAAGGGTGATGGAACTTCTCAGTTAAAAGCATCTAAGTCTGTTGAAGTTGAAGATGTTGAGGTGATGGCTGTTATTTTGTTTCAACTTTAACTTTTTGCTTAGAATCCTTTCGCCATTCTTGATACTGTGAAAAACACACATGATTAATGAGTTAATTTTTGATATATGAACAGCCCGCAGAGATGAGTCTTGAAGAAATTGAAAGTAAGTTAGGGTCCCTTATACAGACGGAGACGATTACTCAGTTGAAGAGTGCTGTGTGGAAAGAGAGGCTTGAAGGTTCTTTCTTCTTCCTTTTTTTTTTTTTTTTTGGGTCTTTTTGTGCTTATCTAAGATGATTTCATGGACCCTCCCTCCAAAAAAAGAGGAAGACGGAAGAAGATGGAGCCCTGGATATACAATGGCCTAAATTCTACTTTCACTTTATCCTAGAATGGGATAATAGATGTGGACTTGATGCAGACAACTTACAGAGTATTCAGCTGAGAGTATCTACTGTATTTTGTAGTTTTGATTCACCTAGTTTCACCATCTGTTGTTGCAGTAGGATCATCGATAATGTTGTGGTCACTACTTGTTTTATGTCCACTTGCTTGTGTCAATTCTTTGAAACAAGGCGAATGCCGTGTCACCTGTCTTTATTAACCCTTACAAAGTTAGTGATATTTGATCCTCTTCTTATAACCTTCTACCAGAATTTGTACTATAAAACATGTATGTATTCCCATAGATAGCATGCGATCCCCATAGCAGTTAGCATGCGATCCCCATAGCAGTTAGCATGCGTCCACGTAAGATGTGGATCCTCTTCTGGGAACTTTCAGTTCCTGGAATGTTGCCACATTTCACTTTTTTTTTTTTAGCATTTCTTTTTGTTTGTTTAATTTGCTAGTTTTCTCTATTAGTCCCTGCAGTTTTCCTGCTTTTAGACCTGATGTGGAAACATCTTAAGTAGATGATACCATACTTTTTTTGTCAAAAAAATGATACCCTACTTTTGGCTTTTGACTTTTTTTTTTTACAGTTTTTTTTAGCCTAAAAGTGAGAGCTTAAAAACACTTCTTAACCTTGTCAAATACCTCCAAAATTAAAAAAAGTGCTTAAAAGGCAAAAGTACCTAAAAGTAAGCTAATCCAAACGGGCACTAAGAATGTAATATACTTTTCAATGTATTCCTTTACACCTCTGTCCATTTCTTTTTGGTTTGAAAGTTGATATTATTTCTCTACTATCTTATGCAGCTATTAATTCATTCAAAGAACAGGTTGAAGCGCTACAAGTGCTTGACCCTTCAGTGGAGATTTTGGTCCGTCTTCTCTGTGCTGTTCCTGGTTGGAGTGAAAAGAATGTCCAGGTTTTTCTCTTTTGCCTGAACTGAACATAGTGAAGATGATTGATCTGGAAAGTCACACGCTTTCTTGGTTCTTGTCAATATATATCGAAGTGCAGGTCCAACAGCAGGTTATTGATGTAATTACCCACATTGCTTCAACTGCATCAAAATACCCAAAGAAATGTGTTGTGCTTTGCATTCAAGGTCTCTTCATTTTTTCCCTTTTCATTCCACTTAGTTGCATCATCCTACCATGCAATTTTTTATTTTATTTTTTTGGCTGATTTTAAGATCAAATTCATTTTTGTCAGGTGTGAGTGAAAGGGTTGCTGACATTAAGACTCGTGCTCAGTCCATGAAATGTCTAACTACGTTTTGTGAAGCTGTGGGCCCAGGGTTTATTTTTGAGAGAGTAAGTAAAGTTTGTACATGCATTGTTTTCTATTTTAACTTCATGATATGAAATACTAATATTTGGATGTTGTTATTGAAGTACGACTTATCTATACTTTCATGTTACTGAGCTATTACTTTTTGTATCTGCTTTGATTTAGCTTTATAAAATTATGAAAGAGCACAAGAACCCTAAGGTTCTTAGTGAAGGCATATTGTGGATGATTACCGCAGTTGATGACTTTGGTGTTTCACTTCTTAAACTAAAGGTATTCTGAGCTTATGAAAATCTGAATTCACTCAAGATTAGTTCACAATTTTAGGTCGGCTTAATCTTTGAAAATGGATGTTATTCCTATAGGATTTAATTGATTTCTGCAAAGATACTGGCTTACAATCCAGTGCCCCTGCCACAAGGAATGCAACCATTAAACTTATTGGCACTTTACACAAGTTTGTTGGTCCAGGTGAGCTGTCTTCTTGGAAATTCTTACATGCCTTCTAGGTTATTGCTGGGGATGAAATATACTTATTATTTTTACAGATATCAAAGGGTTCTTGTCAGATGTAAAACCTGCTCTTATTAGTGCACTTGATGCAGAATATGAAAAAAATCCATTTGAGGTATATTTGATTGCCTTCATCATTTCTTGTCCTTGTGACTAGTGGCTTTAACTTCACCTCCATGTATGTAGGGGACATCTGCAGTCCCAAAGAAGACTGTGAAGGTATCAGATACCCCTTCCTTGTCTAGTGGTGGGCTTGATAGTCTTCCACGCGAAGACATTAGTGGAAAGATAACTCCTGCTTTGCTCAAGGGATTGGAAAGTTCTGACTGGAAGGTACCTCAATTGTTATCGATGTTTCAGCAATTGGTGTCTTAATAGTACTGCTGTAATTCTTGTATTGAATTTCAGGCTCGGTTAGAATCTATTGAAACTGTAAATAAAATATTGGAAGAAGCCAATAAGCGCATTCAGCCTACTGGAACTGGTACGGTGTTCTTACTGTGCTGTGAGTGATTATCTTGCAATAGTACTTGTGTGCATATGAATGTCACTTCATTTCCCCCCCTTAACTGTGCAGGAGAGTTGTTTGGTGCTCTTAGGGGTCGTCTATATGACAGCAACAAGAATTTAATCATGGCAACTTTGTCTACTTTTGGTGGTGTTGCTTCTGCGATGGGACCAGCAGTTGAGAAGTCAAGCAAGGTTCAAGTTGTTCAGAACCTAAAAGTTATCTCTGTATTTTTTCTTGTTATTGATTATCCAATAATGTTTTTCATTGCAGGGGATTCTGTTGGACATATTGAAATGTCTTGGTGACAATAAAAAGCACATGAGAGAGTGCACTTTGAATACATTAGATTCATGGCTTGCTGCTGTTCATCTTGATAAAATGGTTTCCACCTCACCAGTTCTGTGCTATGTTTTAGTTTTGGTTAGCATTGTTCACCCCATTCACAATCATGTTATGTAGGTGCCATACATTACTACTGCGCTAACTGATGCCAAACTTGGTGCGGAAGGCCGCAAAGATCTCTTTGATTGGTTGTCCAAACAGCTAACTGGAATGAAAGAATTTCCTGATGCTGTACATCTTCTAAAGCCCGTAGCGTCTGCTATGACGGTAAACTGATGGCTCTTGCACTAATCGTTTAGTGTCTGGCATATAAACTTTGCCTTCTTTTACTGGACCTAATTGTCTATGTCGTGCACTAAAGTGATTGCGTTCTTTATGTTAGGACAAATCAGCTGATGTTCGGAAAGCAGCAGAAGCATGCTTTGGAGAACTTGTTAGAGTGTGCGGGCAGGAGACGGTATATGAGCTTTAAATAGTTTTGAGTTATTTCTGCTTGTCCACCAATTATTTGCTTGACATCTCTTTCTGTTTGTTGCGTTACTCTCTGATGTAGGTGAGCAAGAACTTGAAAGATATTCAAGGACCTGCTTTAGCTATTGTTGTTGAACGATTGAGACCATATGGGGTACTTCAAGGTATACTTTACTCTATGTTCTAACTTTACGATTTTGTTGTCATCCACTTGTGATGGTGTCTCTACACAATCTATCATTTCATCTTTGGTTTATGTGATTGCAATAATTATTATTGCTTATCAGAAACCTCTGATCTGGGAAGAACAACTTCCACTGGGACAACATCGAAGGTGGGGTCGAAGATAGGAAAATCCACTGGTCCTGCTGATCGTGCTTCTAGGCATGGAAACAGAGCTGGTGCTTCGGTATGTTTCTATGTGATTGAATGACTGAAGTCAGGGAGCAACTGGAGTAATGATTTTTCTTTCTTTAATTTGTTTCTCTAGAGAGTTGTTCCTGCAAGGAGCTCAAGGCAAGAGACCCTAATGTCTGTTCAGGACATTAGTATCCAGTCACAAGCTTTGATAAATGTCAAGGACTCAAACAAGGTATAGCTATATTTCAGGAAATACTATCTTTGTGTTATCTATTCCTTTTTGTTCAGTGATGCTATGATCAAATACACTTGCAGGGTGACAGAGAGAGAATAATTGTGCGCAGATTTAAGTTTGAAGAGCCACGATTGGAACAGATTCAAGATCTTGAGGTTTCTGGAAGATTCATTTAGTGAACTTTAATAATTGTAGTTTTCATTTGATTGGTGAATCTCATTAACCTTTAATTGCAGACTGACCTGATGAAGTACTTCAGAGAGGATTTGCATCGGAGGCTTCTCAGTACAGACTTCAAGAAACAAGTTGATGGAATAGAGATGCTGCAAAAGGTGCTTTTATTATTAGATCAACCTTCTTTCGGGAATTGAGTCAATTGACTATCATCAACCATATTATGTTTGCTCATTTCAGGTGCTTCCATCAATTGGGAAGGAATTAATTGAAATTCTTGATATAGTACTGAGATGGTTTGTTCTGAGGTTTTGCGAATCAAACACTTCCTGCATATTAAAGGTTTGTTCCTATTCCTTTTATTTGTCCTTTTCCTTAATGTTATTTTAGCTCTGTTGCGAATCAAACACTTCATGTTATTTTAGCTCTGTTGCTTTCTTCCCTGAAGTCATTTCAGTACTTCACTGTGATAATTTTTCTCAGGTTCTGGAATTCCTGCCTGAACTTTTTGAGATGTTAAGGAACGAGGGATACATGATGACTGAAGCTGAAGCTGCCATTTTCCTTCCTTGTTTAGTTGAGAAGGTACTTGTCCAATGATCTTCTTTACTTCAAATTGTTGTGAACTTGTGATGTTCTTTATGCTTGATCTTTGAAGCTCATAGGTCTATGGGCTCTCCTTTGCTATCTCCATAATTGATGTGTATCTATAAACATATATGCCTGTAAATTTGGCATACTGCCTTTTCTGGTATTGGCTTGCCTTCAGATGACATGTTGTGTTAGATGCTTGATTTTTATTCTAGTCTGACATTATTTCCTTGTTTTCTTTAATTGCATGTTTTGCGTGTCGTAGTAGTTTAGTTATTATGCTCAGTTCTTGGTATTGGTTTATTAGATAGGTCGTAATAGTTAAATCACAAGAACTGTTATTGGTACTATATTCACACATACATGGATATTTAAGCGCGCTGCCGATGCTTTATACATGTAACACCTCTTCTTTCTTAACCAACACATTCCTTCCTATTTTTTCATATGAACACCGACCTGTCTCATATGATCCTTTCAATCTTTTCAGTCTGGTCATAACATTGAAAAAGTGCGAGAAAAAATGCGAGAGTTAACTAAGCTAATCATCCAAGCATATTCTGCTGCAAAGACTTTTCCTTACATTTTGGAAGGTTTACGATCAAGGAGCAATCGAACTCGTATAGAATGTGCTGACCTTGTTGGCTACTTACTGGATAATCATGAAGCTGAGGTAAATATCTGAGTTATTGATCTTCTCACCTCTAGAGGTTGCTAAATCCTCTTCTGTCCTTCCTGGTGATAGATTGGTGGACAATTGAAATCCTTGCAAGTTGTTGCAAGTTTAACAGCAGAACGGGATGGTGAAACTAGGAAGGCTGCGTTGAATACTCTGGCTATTGGCTATAAGATTCTTGGTGAGTGTTTGTGTTCTGTGAGGTTCTTTAGTTATGAATACTGGTGTAAGGTTAACTGGCTTCCGGTTTCAGATTCCGTAAGCCCTTGGCATGTCTGTGTTGCCTTTTGAAATATGTTTTTCCAGTGAACTGGATGAATGACAGTAGTTTGGATGAAAAAGCATCTTAATTAAATGTCTTTCAGGTGATGACATTTGGAAATATCTTGGAAAGCTGACAGAGGCGCAAAGAAGCATGTTAGATGATAGATTCAAGTGGAAGGTTGCTAAACGTTTCTGCTCATTATTTTCTCTTTATTTTATTGCATATTTTGCCGAGGGTATTTCGGAAACAGCCTCTCTACCTCCACGAGGTAGGGGTAAGATCCACGTACAATTTACCCTCCCCAGACCCCACTTTGTGGGATTTCACTGGGTATGTTGTGGGTGTCTTGCATATTTGTTCCCTTACCTTTCTCACAACATTGGGTACTAAATTTTTTCCAGGCAAGAGAGATGGACAAAAGAAGAGAAGGCAAACCTGGTGAAGCTAGGGCTGCTTTAAGGCGTTCAGTGAGGGATAATGGGTATCTATTTATTTGCTAATACTTGGATTGTCTTGTACTTTCGATGTAGAAATTTTCAACTAGGCAAGAAACATCTTTTGGAGGGTATGTAATGCTTAAAGTTTCATCTAGACAAGAAACATCTTTTGTAGCATATTGAGTTACCACTTTCCCTTGGATTGCAAATCCAACCTATAGGTTAATCAACTGTCCAGAACCTGGATGATAATTATACAATACTTTGACTGTCTAACTTACTAGTTGACGGTTTTCGTTTGAGTTCTAATTTGTTTTTACATTTTGTTTCAAAGGTAGAATACCACATATTTGTGCTCTCGTTCTGTTGTTGAACCCAGGTTGAGCTCATAATATTTGTTACTTTCGTCATTGACACTGGATATTTTTGGTTGATCTTTAGGACTGATCTGGCAGAGCCGAGCGGTGAAGTTTCACGGCCAATAGCTGGCCCAATCTTAAATAGGTGATCAAGAGATCCTTGCATTTTTTTCTCCTACCAATCTGAATATGAGTTGCTAATTTGTTTTCTTTGTATGTTTTATCTCTTCTTTCCAGGGATATTTATAACACTACAGAGCTTCCCATGGAAAGAAATATGAATCTACGGCCAGTTGCTGGTACAATTGGTCCCTCAGACTGGAATGAAGCTCTTGATATTATATCATATGATTCTCCTGAGCAGGTTGTTTCCCCTTTTCCTTTTCATGGATTAGGATTGACTTTCATCTTAATCCCTTGTCATACCCCGTGTTTATAGCAATGAAGGATTATATAAGCTTAAGTACTCCATACACCCACCAACAACTGAATAAAAATGAGCATTCTCCAAACAAGACTACTCTAAGGGTGTGTTTGGCCTGAAGATGTTTCCAATTTTTTTCCATGTTTGGTTAATCAGAGTTTGGAAATCACTTCCTCTAGTAAAACAAGCTCCTTGAAAATGAATGTCATGAAATAGGGAATACAAGTTCCATAAGTGGTATTCCACTCTTCCCCATCCTCTCCTACACACCCATAGCTCCTGTCTCCACCCCCACCCACCCCATAGTGTTTCCAGATTATCTGTTAATAATTTTGAAACAATATTTTCTGCAAGAAATCCATTTAGTTTCCAAGAAAACATTTTCCTCTGAGATGTTTTTCACATCCTGAACCGTATTGGGTGATCCAAATGATTGCCTAAGAGTTAATCCACAATGTTTGTGTTTTTTCTTAAGAATATGAATGGTTTTTGTCCCCATTGAAATATAGAAATTTGGATCCCTAATTAGACTACTGGAGTATTTTATCTTCTGATGCCGATGATTTCTTTCTTCTTTGGTTTTGGGGATATTCTCATTGCTAAACTTGTTGTGAGCTTATAAAAAAAAATGCATAAGTTGTCTAAAATCCAGAACAACGTATGTTGCACAATTTATTATAGCTGGTTATGGGTTCATCTTTCTGTTTGTTTGTGTGTCTATGTCTTGGTTTTCCTGCTTCTATGGATTCATCATTACAGAGGTTAATGAGGATGGAGGGTAACTGTCAATGATTCACTGATACAATCATTTCTTTCCCTTGTTGCAGTCTGTTGAAGGAATGAAAGTTGTGTGCCATTTGTTGGCCCTAGCAACCAATGATCCTGAAGGCAGTGCCATGGATGAAATTGTCAAAGATGCAGATAGGCTTGTTTCCTGCTTAGCAAATAAGGCGCGATATGATTCATTCTTTGTGTAACTAATTCGTTGTTGTCTGTGTATTCTTCAAATTGCTCATGTTCTAGATCTACTACAGGTAGCAAAAACGTTTGATTTCAGTCTGATGGGTGCATCTTCAAGATCTTGCAAATATGTTCTTAACACACTCATGCAGGCATGTGGTTATCCAATATCTATTAATTCTGCACTAACATTATTTTTTCCTTGTATATGTGATCATCAAGTATTTGAACAATTGTTGGTCTCACACGTATTTGGAAATATCTCAATTTCTGGCTGTTTCCTTGTTTGCAGACATTTCAGAATAAAACGCTTTCTCATGCCGTAAAGGAGAGTACCCTAGATATCCTCATTACTGAACTTTTGCTTTGGCTTCTTGATGAGAGAGTACCCCGCATGGATGATGGCAGTCAGCTCCTGAAAGCGTTGAATGTTTTGATGCTAAAAATCTTGGTACTTCTGCTTCTGACATTGCATAAAAAGAGTGCAGTTTACCTTTATTTTAGCTGGCTTGTCCTGATTATTTTCTGTCTTTCTTTGGTCACTAATATAGGACAATGCTGATAGAACATCATCCTTTGTTGTGCTGATTAATCTATTACGGCCTTTGGACCCATCAAGGTGGCCATCTCCAGCAACAAATGAATCACTTGTCATAAGAAATCAGAAGTTCTCTGATTTGGTCGTCAAATGTCTTATAAAACTTACAAAGGTAGTTTTTCTCGCTTGTTATTACAATCCTGGGTTTCTTAAGATTGTGATGACTAGCAATTCGTAAGCTGTATTTACGTTTTTATGCAAATATGTTTGTCTGCCTCCTTTTCTCTCTTTGTTCAATGTGATGTGGTAAGTTTCTGAATGCAAAATCTATACAATCTCTCCCATGTTGCTGTAGTAGTGTAGTGGACATGTTTCTTTCTTGAAGGTTGATATTGTGACGATTAAGTATCAACTGTTGCTTTCACATTTTATAGGTTCTTCAAAGCACCATATATGATGTCGATCTTGATCGCATCCTTCAGAGTATTCACATTTACCTACAAGAACTAGGAATGGAAGAGATCAGGAGGAGGTAGCTTTCAATTAGATTTCAGATTTTTCTTTTTGGGTATGCACTTTGATATGGATTAATCAGCTATTTTCTTTCCTAATTCTTGTCTTATAAAATACTGAAAGAGCGGGAGCCGATGATAAACCTTTACGAATGGTGAAAACTGTGCTGCATGAACTTGTCAAGCTTCGTGGTACTGCCATAAAAGGTCATCTGTCCATGGTGCCAATAGACATGCAACCACCACCAATTATTCTTGCCTACATTGATCTTAACCTTCAGGTTATGAAATTTTTAACTGCCATATTGCTTTTTCTGTGCTACTAATTCACGTGGAGTTCCCAATTGATGTTAATAATCTTTCAGACCTTGGCTGCTGCGAGGATGCTGACTCCCTCTGTACCTGGCCAAACTCACTGGGGTGATTCTGCAGCAAATAATCCAGCACCAGCAACACATAATGCAGATGCTCAATTGAAGGTATAATGTGTGGCATTTTTTTTCTAGCTTGTTTTTTCGAAAGTGAACTTTCCTTTTCTTTCCTTTGCAATATAATTTTGTTGCATTGTACTAGTAAATAACAAAGTAGTGTTATGTTGTGTGTTTTACAGCAGGAACTTGCTGCCATATTTAAGAAGATCGGTGACAAGCAAACCTGCACAATTGGTCTTTATGAGTTATACCGGATCACACAATTGTATCCCAAGGTACAATGCTTTATCCTTTTTAGTGTCAACTTATTTCCCTGCCTTCAAAACTGAACTTCTTGTAACGTCATTTTGTCCAATCTGTATTAGGTTGATATATTTGCTCAGCTGCAAAATGCTAGTGAGGCATTCCGAACATATATTAGAGATGGTCTAGCCCAGGTGTGCATTGGATCTCTTTGTACTACACATTTATAGATTTGTAGTTACTAGTCATGGAATAATTGTTCCCATGAAATTGCAGATGGAAAAGAATGCTGCGGCTGGAAGGACTCCTTCTAGTGTACCCATGCCAACTCCTCCTCCATCTTCACTAAACCTGTCTTCTCCCAAATTTGGTCCTTTATCTCCTGTAAATACTAACCCATTGAATGATGCAAAATCTGTAAACAATAAAATTGAACCATCACACTTTAGTTTGCCACCGTCGTATGGCGAAGATGACAGAGGTGGTAATGCTCTCCCCTCAAGAGGACTATCATCTGAACATTTGGAGTTGCAGAGAAATGATAGATTGCCTTCTGGAGGTACACATGTGCCAAGTTATTTTTATTCTAGCTTTCGTGTTTTCCTTTCTTTTTTCATTTTTGATATATTAACTGTCAATTCAAATGTCAGTTACAAAGTAGTTTTGTTGTTGCAGTTACTAGTGGAACACTAGAAGCGATCCGCGAAAGAATGAAAAGTATTTCATTAGCTACTACCGTGGGGAACACGGACCCAAGTAATAGACCACTAATGTCCATGAATGGTAACATCAGTCACATGGTGTCAAATCACGCTCCTGGCACAGAACATTCTAGTGTTGAAAATACCATTCAGAGTGGGGTTCTTCCCATGGATGAGAAGGCACTTTCAGGGCTCCAGGCACGAATGGAGAGGCTGAAGAGTGGATCTATGGAATTCTAGATATTTTTTGGTCAAGCGTGATTCCCAGTGAACTTGCATCATAAGATGCTTTATGTTTGCCGAGAAACACCTTGAGCGTTTATACAGCTCATGTCTGATTACAAGTGGAAAGCTCGGTCAAGCGTTGCCTGCCATCTCAATTTTATGGGACAGATCTTTGTGTTCTTGAGATCTCGTAGATAACGTACCATAATGGTTTTTTCCGGCAGGATTAGCTGTATATTTTTGTAGAGATATCTACTGATTTGATTTGGTCTAATTTAATTGAGAGGCTCTCGTGTGTTTCGAAATCTTGATCTAGTATGTCATGCCTCAATTGATAGCTAGATTCCGGCTAGGTAGTTGAAACTGTTGTAAGCTGTATGATAACACTTCAATGTTGAAATCTTCCTATTTTCACGTTTGATTCCGACTCCTTGGTGGAACACAATAATGACAATATAAAGGATAGTAGTATTACTGGAGTAATATTGTTTTAAGTCATCTCTGTTTTGGATGAAAAAAATCTAAAAGATTCTAAACAATATCACACGAGATATCAATAACTTGTTTTGCCTTGAAACTCTGCGTGTGAGTAAATTCAATTGTGCAAAATTTTTATTATTCGTCTATAATTTTTTGATGTTTTTCTTAACGTGATTTGCTCCTTGTGGGACACACGTGACCACTTTTATTTAAAGAGGAAAACAGTAGCTTACTAGCTTTCTACCATTAAATTTTTTTAATAATTTGATAAAGTTAGTAACTAATTTGATATCATAAGTTAAAGGGATAATGTGTACTGGTAAGGGTCGTTTGGTTCAAGTACATTCAAAAATTAAAATGCATAGATTATTTATGCAGTGATACTGGCTTAATATCTAATCTCAGAATGCTTGTATAATTTATATATTATATTTTTTATACACAGCCAATTAAATATTACATTGTCTTTTACAAATTTTTATACTGAGATTAGTTGCACTAATAACACAACTAAGCCACCTCTTAAAATAGGTAAGTTGGGTTTAAACTTAAACCTATTTTTATATTTTCCAACATTGTGAAGACTGAGGAATATTGTATCAACAAAGCTAACTTTTTTTTTTTTTGTATAAATAAGTTGAAAAAAACTAAAGTAACGTAATTTGTACATCTTCTCAGAAGGTTCCTTCCATAGCCTTGTACCTTTTGCTTCCTCCCCAAGTACCCCTTTAAATTCAAATACTTTTTTTTTTTCTGGGATATGCTTTAGTCTAAATTTAGTTTCTAGCTTACGTATACGCATGACTTTTTAATTTTATTTTGCATAAATATATTTGTTTGGGTTTGATTTTGGTTGCAGAGAGCGAAAATATAAAGTTTGTATAGCAAGATGGCTTCAACACTGTTACTGGTTTTGGTTTTTGTGCTTGATTTGATAGCTTTTGGACTTGCTGTTGCTGCTGAGCAGAGGAGGGCTACTGTGAGTTGTTTTCCGATAATTCTTCTTCTTTTTTGCTCTTTCCTGTATGTTTTTTTGTTATATTCTTCGTTCAGCTTTCAGTATCATATTATATACTACTGTATTGGGGTTTTTTTGGTGTGGGTTTGTATGTTGAGGAATTGAAGAAATTATGTAGCTATTTTAGAGGGTAAATAAATTCTCAGCCCATAAAATTCTTCGTGCACTATGAACAGTAGTTATGGACTAACACTAGCAAGGTTGAAGATAGTTGGATTATGTTCTAGTATATAGTTTATAGCTTGTTGAGGTGATATTCAGGGAAGGACCCAGAAGTTGATTTAACAAAAAAATTTAAAAAAAGGATGGGGTGTGGGTATTTTGAATTTTGAACAAGTAGGGTCATGCCCCTCCACTGGCCTACTGCATGTGTCTGCTTCTTGTTGTTGTCTATCAGAATATAGTCTTATTTCTTTCTTGGGTTTAGCAATATGGGACCGGCTTGATAGGTTTGAATTGAGTGGCTTCTCATTTCTTGTATGGTGACTCAACTAGTAATAGTTAAGTATTATCTCAGAAAATCATTTGGACAACGAAAATGATTTTTTAACCATATGAGAAATCTAATCCTCATTTTATGTAAGTAATGTCTTTAAATCTAATTAGATTTTCTTTGCAAATAAAGGTTTTATAAATTTTACACTTATCCCTATTCGAACTTAATGTAAGTGTAACGACATCAACAACTTAACTTTAATCTGACCAGTGTTGGTAAATTGGATCCTTGCTTCCATAATGTTTTATGTTTGCTAATCTGATCATAGATCTACCTCGTTCACTTTTATTACCATCTATTGCCATAGTGTCACATCTACAGATTAGTTTGCATATGCTGAGGCTTGTCGTGATATCAGGTCATTATTGTTAACTGAATGAAGGACTTGGTGACTTAGATGCTTTTGGTTATGTCAATCAAATATTTAAGTTAGAAGCATTATTTGCACATTCTCATTTATATAAGCACGTGAACAGATTTGCAAGTCTGATCAGAGATAATTCCCTATCCAACTTCTCGGATGTGGATAAACTTGGAAGGAGTGCTAGTTATATCCTTAATTCAGTTGATCTAAAAAGGTTGTTTCGATGATTCTTTGAGATTCCACAAGTAACTTGATGGTCTTTTAAGATTTGGATAATCAAATTAGAAAAGTAACCTGTTCAGTCGCATCGCCATATAAACAAGTGAGTGGATTAAAAAGCGTGGCCAGAGATCTTAAGTACATATGGACCTTGCCTTTCAAGATACTATGCATCAACTTCATCGAAATCTGTTCAATTTGTACCTTCATGGTATTATTACATCTTGCTTGGTGTTCTCTCTTCTTCCCTTGAATCTCTGTGTGTGTGGTTGGAAGGTGAGGTGATTATAATCTTTTGTTAAGTCTGTACTAAATCAACCCCAATATGTAAGTCTACTCTCTAAGAGAGTTAACCAATGTTGATGTCCTTGTTCAAATGCAAGTGGAGTGGAAGTTGTCTGAGCATGCGAGTCTTTACGTGATCTGATGTGATCAGAGTTCTCATTGACTTTTTGAGGTTAGAACAGACAGGAACCGATCATGACAGACTAGTTCTGCAAGAACGACGAAGTTACCAAGTAACACGTACATATTCAAAATGGACATGGTTCATAGGTTTCATGCAGGGACGGTTATAGTCGTTGTAGGAGCCAACTTAGATGGTGGCCTAAGAGGAAATATGAGATTTCAGAGCAGTTAGAAGAAGTAAATGATAGAAATCAATATCTGCGCTAATTGCTTAGAGGTTTAGTTTAATATTATAAAAGCATTTCTGACTTAGCTATTTTGGCTATAAGGTTGATGTTTCTATACTTGACAATTATCAAGATCGTAGAGGCTCTGATACCATGTGAGAAATATAGGAAAAGAATATTATTGAATTTTTGTTGTGTCTACATTATTACATTGAGACCTTATTTATACACTAGAATACAATCCTTTACCAAGTAGGATACAATTTACTATTTCCATTCCTTTTCTAAATAGGATTGTATAAACCTATTCCTATTCTAATAGGATTGTGTAAACCTATTCCTATTCTAATAGGATTGTATAAACCTATTCATGTTCTAACAAGTACTAATAATATACATTTTCAGTAAGTTTAATTATTGGGTTCTTTATTTCAGGCAACGATCAACAGAGATGCAGAGTATAATTACTGTGTGTATGAGTCAGATGTTGCAACTGGCTTGGGTGTGGGTTCATTCTTCTTTCTTTTAGCTAGTCAGCTCCTCATAATGTTTGCAAGTCGATGTTTATGCTGTGGGAGGGCACTGCGACCAGGAAAGCCCCGATCATGGGCTATTGTCTTATTCATCACCTGCTGGTACGTTTCTACACATGGTTCATGAACTACATTTTAGTGTTTGCTAGCCAGAGTAGAGACATAATGATTTCACTGATGTATGTAAGAATCTAGTCAAATATGTGAGAAACAATTATGTCTTGAATTTCTCAGGGTCACCTTCTTTATTGCTGAAGTGTGCTTACTGGCGGCTTCCGTTAGGAATGCCTACCACACAAAGTATAGGACTTACTTGGCACAACATCCTCCGTCCTGCGAGGTTTTGAGGAAGGGAGTCTTTGGTGCTGGCGCTGCTTTTATTGTTTTCACTGGCATTGTCTCTGAACTTTTCTACGTCAGCTATTCCAAGGCCGATGAAGGATCCATTCCTCCAAGAATGGATGGTGGCATAAGGATGAATGCGTTCAGGTGAACCCATTGAGGAGAAGGAGGTTTTGGTTGTATACTCACTAAGCTTTTGCACTTACTTAGAATGTGATATTGGTAACGTGGTATACTTAACCCTGTCGGGTTGGTGATTTGACTTCAACGAAATTAGAGATTCTGATCATTTGTTGCGACTTTTGTGCATCCTTCATCATTGTTCAAAATTGCTTAGTAGGGATATAGACACAGATAGGTATGACTGCTACTTGTGAGTTCTGTTGTACAATGTTTTGAAGAGAGTTTTTCTGGGGTCTGATGAGGCAAAAAATAGGTTGTCCACCTTATGATACCTTGAGATGATTCTAATGTTCCTGTTGCCATTTCACATTCTGTTCTAGTAGCATATTCATATTTCTTGACAACTGAGACATCTCCGAGAGCTGTTGGATCACAGTTTGAAACTCGGTGAAAAATGGGCCTGCCCGCGCTACTACTATCCTTCTCCACTTAGTTACCAGGCTTGTCTTTTGGAAGTGTTTGAATTCATGACGTACACCTAACTCACACTTGTATATAACAATAGAAGGGCAAGGAGTTTCTTTGGACATATCTACCCATCAAATACCCAAGTCCTTGTCCATATTCTTGACTTTTTTTATATTGGAGGTCATCATCATCTTGAAGGGTCTACTTATTATTTATTTTCCATTCTAAACATAATTTGCATATTTCTAAATTGTTAATTTAAATGGGGTTGAATACCTGTTATGTGATTGTGATTGTGGTAAGAGTTATAAAATATGTTATTATGTCATGTATAGTTAATTAAGACATATTTTCACCTCACTTGATCATTGTAAAGTTATGTAGTTAGTGATAAAATCCGATGTAGATAAATAACATTTTTTGGTGAGAACTCTTCATAACTTTTCCTATGACCAAATATACATGGTGGACAGAGGACTAATCATAATGCACAAACTGTTACATTTCGTTCGGTAGATGATTAGAATTATTAGATATTAATTTTGCGGATATTAGCTATTTCATCTTTTATTATGTATAAGATAATACATAAATTTCCCTATAACTTATTATACACATATATTAGTAATGCATTCTAAATTTCAAATGAAATTTCGTATTAAATTTTATACATGAGTAATTTTCTGACTAACTACTAATTAACTTATACCAAAATTAAGATACTTCTTTATGAGCTACCA